CACAGCCTGTGTCTGTCTGAGAGCTGATAGGTCTAAACAAAGACAGAAACAAACAGCTGTTCGGTCACATCCAGCTGTCACAGCTCTGGGCGTCTCTGCTCGTGTGAGCCGGGCTCAGACAGGAAAAGGTTGAAGGTATTAAAAAACCTTCTCCTGGTGCAGGTGAAGGTTTTTGTGTTTCTTGGCTCTGATTGGTCATCTTCAGAGATCTCGCTTCCTGTAAAACGTTTGTTATGGAGGCTCCTCCTCTCTCTCCTCTGTCTTTCTGCTCTGTGATATGCAGACACGTGATGAACTGTTGTCCTTCCAGTCCTGCTTTTGTCCGTCTCTCTCCGTCTTCTTGTCTTAATGTTGTAAATCAGCTTCCGTCCCTGCTCTCTCCGTCTCCTCTCCGTCTCCTCAGGCTTTTCCTCCTGTTCCTTTCCTCTCTCCGCCCTGGCAGTATCAGCGCTCCAGGCCTTACAGGGGGAGGCCCAGGCCCAGCATCCCCTCCCACCTCGCGAGAAAACGTGAGTCACACCTCACCTCAACCCGCTGCTCCTCTTCCTCCCCATCATCATCCCCTTCTCTCGCTCCTCGGACTGAGATGTTTTTGTGTTTTGGTCCATTTTTCTGTCGATGCTTTAAACACATCTGTAGAAAAGTGTGTTTATGTTTCAACGACGTGAAAAGAGTCTGCAGAGTGAGCTCAGTCACGCTGAAGTGCTGCTCAAAGGGGCTCATATGATTGTTGGCTACTCTGTATGTATGATTGTAGGGTCGACCTTACAGTATAAAGCGCCTTGAGGCGACTGTTGTTGTGATTTAGTGCTGTGTAAATAAAACTGAATTGAACTGAATATAAATGCATTGCACAGAACGACAGCGTGCAGAGGAAGCAAGTGAAAGGTTTCAGAGTTGTGACTGAATACCACAGAACAAGCGATTGGTGAGTGAGTTGTCTGAGTCAGGAGTTGTCGTCTGAAATATGGCCGTCATTAGGACCCTGCACAAGAACGAGCCGAGAGGTCGGAGAGCAGGAGAAGCCAAGGAACGCCGCCCCCCCAGCGTGCGTGACAACCAGTAAAAACTTTAGCCAGACAAAATCTGCAGAGGTGACAGAAAAGCTCAGACTGAAATCTCAGACTTTAAACTGAGAATAGAGACAAAGTTGAAGCCAGCGGGTTTGATTCTACGTTTCTCTTCAGTTTATTTCACTTTTAACTGCAGAACGAATCGAATTTAGTCAGTAGACGGTTTGTGCTGTGAGGCGTTCAGGGATCCAGGATTTTTCAGCTCTTACAGCTGCAGCACTGCTGAATGAAAGAAGGATGCAGATCTGCACACGCTAACCTCCAAAGCTGTTTAAAGCTCCAGCGTTCAGAGTTAACCAAAGAGGTGAAAGGTCAGAGGTCGAGGCAGGAAGTTTTAATGGACGCGTGGAGACTCGGCGGCACAAAATGACTCGAATATGATTCTGATAATTAGTCTGAGCTGAGATAAGACGCCACTGAATCCAGACGCTCACATTAGAAGTTTCTGGTTTAAGTTATTCATGAGGACGAACGTCAGTGGAGCCACTTCAGAGCGGAGCAGACCGAGTTCAGGCAGGAGTTTAATCAGCCGACCCCAGCATCGCGTTTACCTCCTGCCTCCCTCAGCCTCCCTCAGCCTCGCTCTGGTTTGTTTCACTCCTTCCTGATGAGTTTGTTCTTCCTCGTTTGTCACCTTCAGCCGCTCCGTGTGTCTCCTCAGAAATCTGTCACTGACTGTTTGTCATTTCTCTCCTAACTCTGCTCCTCTTCTCTGTTTTTTCTCCTCTGCGCCTTCGTCCAGGAGTGGAAAATCTAGTGCTTTACTTCAGTGACACAGCGTGGTACGGTAGCAACTTTTTAATCTTCCTCACTTCATCCTCCTCCTTCTTCTTCTTCTCTTCTTCCGTCACATAAAGCGAGCTGTTCTGTTTGTACTCAGATGCGTGTCTTTAGCAGGGAGGTGATGCTTGTTTTGACGGTATCGCAGTACCACACACGTAAAACTGTTTGGTATTATCGTGTAATAATGTAACAGGCGTCAGTGAAGCTCATTCGTTGATAAACTCTCAAACACAAACTTAGTACCGTAGCTGTGCTCAGACCTACACTGGAGAAACCAAACAGCACTTCATAAACGCACAACGCAGAAGACCCGCCTCGACAGGACAAGACTCAGCTGTACACCTGCATCTAAAGGTCAAAGGTCACTCTTTGAGGACACCAATGTTCACATGTTGGACAGAGAAGACAGATGGTTTGAAAAAGGAGTGAAAGAAGACATCTGTGTCCACTGTGAACAGCCATCTTTGAACAGAGGGCGGGGCTTATGACACCTGTGATCCAGTCTGAGATCCTTCCCAGACGCCTTAACGCCCACGCACATCCTGGGTTGACAGGGTGGGGCAAGGTCTCACAGTGGGTTCACCTGAAACCCACACCCTACACACCGTGGCTCATGTGATGAGTCACATGATCAACAGTGGGTCAACGGACACTCCCACTAGAGTTTAAATTCCTGGGACTCTCCAGCATTTGGTCTTAGAGATGAAGTCCAGTCGTGTTTCTTTCCCAGCTCGTTGGACGTCGATGTGTTTCCATGTGTGGATCAATTCCATCACTGTGACGAGAATAGCGACGGCCCGCTAGCATGCGCTACCAAAAAGAGTGCTTTGTTGTGTACCTGACGGACGAAAGCTAAACCAGTTCCACACCAGTGAAGCTGCAGCGTTTTTACAAACCAGTTCAGGTTCATCTGTTTCATTCAACGATCCGCTCTCGCCCTCCTCATTCTGCGTCGCCGCCATGTGCGTATGAAAACAAAGCATGCGTGTTTTATCCATATTCTGTCGCAATATTTCATTTTCTTCTCGTTGCCCGACATACCGGTGATACCGTGAACGGTAGTATTATATTTACATTGATGATGATGAGAGCGTGAGATGCGGCGCTGTGCACAGAGTCTTCTACCTGAATTATTCATAAACCTTTATTCTGTGGATAAAATAAGAGTGTCTCATAAATGCAGTACTATACAGGTGAAGTGAACGGATACACGATGGTGCCTCACTGAGGCGCTTTGCTCTCCGGCCACAGTGACGGTGACGTCCAGCCGTGCCCGAGTTCATCGCTCTTTACCAGCTGTGAGTGTTTGATGGGAAGCTGTGAGTCAGCTTTCTGCAGCATCTCTTTCTTCACATCAGTGAGAGCAAACATGTTCTCAGTTTAGAGGTGAGACTTGATGCTGAATAATGTTGTTACTGTGAGGGAAGCACGTGGCCGCGCGGCCTAAAGCGCGGCGAGCCTTCGGGCCGTGCAGATGATCCAGCAGCTGGCCGCTGAAGTCACAAGCTCTTCGGCGGTCTCGCCTTACCTACCTCGCTCCTCCATAAGCACATCAGCTGTTTGATTTCAGGCCTCCAGAAAAGCTCGTGATGCTCAGTCGAGTTGAGGGCGAGCTCGGAGGGACGGTTCTGGTTTTAGCATCAGCGCAACGTGAGAGGGAGGCTTCGCTCCGACGCCAGAGTAACTGGCTGTAAATGACTCGTCGGTCTGTAATCTGTCCAACGTGTCTCGCGAAGGAGATCAAGTCATTTCCTTGTGACAGTGTGCAAAGTGACTTTGATGCGTCTTTATTTATCCCAGTGAAAAGTGCCATTGAAGGCCAAGAGGGCAAATCTAACAGCTCAGAGCTATAAGGATATTTGAGAGTGCTTATAATGCACACTAATGTAGAGTCAGTGATACTTACAAACTGGTGGATCAGGAGTGTTCGGAGGTCTGACCAACACCAGCATGTGATGGAGGCTGTGTGGGCTCAGGAACACAGGTGTGTGGGTCCTGACAGAGTGAAGAGAATCGTCTCCCTCCAAAGAACAAAGTTATAAAATCAGAAGTTTTCATGCATTTTAAAGAGTAATTTAGCTGCTGCTGCTTTAATTTGATCAACACATTTGTGATGATGTTTTATTTACGTTTTATTTTCTTGTCTAGTAGTACACAGTCACCCTGACCTTTATTTTGAAAGTTCAGTCATTTGTAACCATGTGATCTGTGGTTCGCCCGCTGCCTCTCGTCCCACGCTCAGCTGATCCTGAGCCTGCAGCAGAGTTCAGCCACTTTTAAACTTTTAAACGCCGTCCAGCCCCACGCACGGGGCGATCCGCGGTAGCTCGTTAACGGAGATTTGCCGTGTTGTGGCGTTAACGTCATTTCAGATTAACGCTGACAGCACTAGTGGGAACACAACGAATATGACTGCACATTTACTCCGACATCATCCTAGTGAAGACATGGAAAGACAAACAACAAGCAGCATGCTACAAACTTTACCCGAGTCATTTAGACAGCCGTTAGCACAGGATTCTCCTTATGGGGACCTGATATGTTTAATATGCTGCTGAGAATATAGCCCAGAAGAAGCGTATAGTATAGCTTTTATTTTGAAAGAGCCATTTCTCTGTAATAAACTCTCTTTTCCAAAGATGAGGTGATTCCTCAGATCAGATAGATTTATTATTTTTGTTGTTTCAGCAACATTAAATTTAAAAACTGTACTTTTGAGTTAAAATATATATTTATAATTTTAATAAATGACAAATTAAAAAGGCATGAACATTTTTTTTGTATACCTGCACAAATATCGACCCCGTAATTGTGTAGTTGCACCTTAATATATATATATATATATATATATATATATATATATATATATATATATATATATATATATATATATATATATATATATATATATATATATATATATATATATGCGCTATTATCTAATGTGTGTATCTATGTATGTGTTTGTTAGTTAGTTATGGCCCAGCCCTAGTCATGAACAAATCCCCGAGGTGCTCCTGCACTCGCCCCTCACGCTCCGGCTCACCTCTCAGATAAACTCAGTTCTTCAGTTTTGGTTCCTCTGCCTCTGTCAGTTCGTGTGAACGCTTTCTTAATTTCACAGAAGAAACAGGGAATTCATTAAAAATCCAAAATGGAAATAAGCTTAAGTGAAAGCAACTTTTTGATATCAGTTTTGGTTTTAATGAATTTTATTTGTTCAGGCAGAGAAGAAGGAGACAGAAACAGGAGACGGACCGAGCTCTTAATAAATGAGACGAGCTGAGATTTAAGATTGATTATAAAAGGAATCGATGGGATGAAGTAACGTGGCTCGCATCCAGTGATGATAAAACAGTCGATCAGTATTCGTGTGTAACGTCTCTAAGTGACTGTCTGCACGCTTTTACCCATGATTCACTGCTGCCTGCAGGACAGGTCACACCTTCTCCTTCACAGTGGAGCGAGTGCGCGGAGTCCAGAGGCCCATCAGGAGGCGGCGCCGAGCTAAAATTATCTTTGTAAATGACTCTTAAATTTTGGATTAGATGAGGTGCGCTACACTCCGGCTCTTGCAGCTGTCAAACCGCTCGAGATGACGCCATCGCTCATTTGCTCAACACGAACCGAGCCGGCGCCGTGTCCCGACAGCACTGAGGATTCTGGGAGTTTGGTGTGTTAGAGGGGCGTCGCTCTCTGATCAGCTTCAAACCTCAGTGACCTGATGTTTTTAGTCTTTGTGAGTGTCCTCATGTATTGAACTTCCAGCTTGATTAAAATCCGTCCCACACATGAGCAGAGACGGACGCCACCTCCGCACATCACACTGACGCTCTGACTGAAGATCACATGTAGTGTTTTATCTAAATTACGTCTCCGCTCCCTTCGTTCTCTGCTCACCTCCTTTAGTGTGAGGATGTCGTTTTCAGAGTGGAATTTTTCAGCCTCTAAATCTATAAAGAGCTTCATTGATTTGGGTGAACTGTTGAACAGCCCAGAGGGACACATGTGGCCGTTTCCATCCTTTGATTTTTTTCCATCCTTTAGTTTAGATTTGATCCACGATCAGTATGAAGACAGTGCGGTGAGGTCAGCTGACCCCGCCTGTGCTAGTGCTAACCTTCGAGGGTCGACGGTGACCTGCTGGACGTTAGGAGGCTTCGGCGCCGGGCTGCCGTTTCATATTCGACGTGGATTTCTGGAGCGCTGCTGCTAACGGCGACGATCGGATCAAAGAAAATAAAAAAGAATGAACGAGTGCTGCTGTCAACAAACCTGCTCATCAAAGGTTCGTGCTCAGCAGACAGCACAGGTGGGGGCGGAGACTGAGACAATGAAACAGCAGGAAGAGCTCCTCCTCCTTGGTGAGGACGCCGTGTCCACCTGGCGGCAGACCCTGGACCTGCTGAAGAGTTTCTGCTGTGATCGCTGAAACACATAAAAACCATAGTTATCGAGTATAAAACCGTACGGAGCAAAGCTGCTACCACCGAATATTCACTCATTATTGTTCTGATTTTAATATTTGAGCTTCGCAGTGATGTTATGATGGATTATTCATCTAACGAGCCTCTGGGGGCCAATAAGACGACAGCTAAGACGAATGTGGGTGGATGTGGACGCAGTTTGGGTGGATCAGCACTTTATATGCCAGGAAAGTGTGTGTGTGTGTGTGTGTGTGTGTGTGTGTGTGTGTGTGTGCGCGGTAACACCGTGGGGACGTCCTGTGAGTCGGCGTCAGAGAAGTAGAATAAAAACAGTGGGGCAGTGGAGTGTTTCCCTCCCAAGGTGAATGCTCCTGGAGGAGAGCTGCGTGTGGTGGAGGACGCCCTCCACCTCCCTCCTCTGTCCTCCTCCTCTTCAGTCTTTCTGTCCTTTTTCCTCATATCTTTCTTCCTTCTCTCGCTGCCTTTAATCCACCCATCCTGTCTTGCATTATTCATGAGGTGAATACACCTGAACGTCCCAGAGAGGCTGCAGTACCACTGCCCACCACCAGATGTCAGTGTTTACCAGCAGGTCTTTCTGTTCTGTTGAGAGCAGTAAAAAGGTTTTCTCTACATTCAGCATAGGCACTCAGTGTGGCCCCCTGCTGGACCCTGCTGGAGTTTAACAACACAAACAAAAGGTTTCACTTTTGCTTCCTGTCAGCAAAATTATTAAAAACTGCCCGAATACGTCAAGAAGTGTGGACCGATCAGCTGAATTCAAACCCTCAAGCAACACAATATCTGATCTGCACAGAGCTACGAGAGTGCGTTGGATTACTCAGCTGAGCTGTCAGGAATCAGAGACCAAGTTATGATTTCTAAGACGTCTGCCATTTTTGTTTTATGCGCCACTGATTTTTGGAAGTTACTGAACCTTTTCTGTTCTCCTTTAAGTGTTTTTTATCTTTAGCAGTCACCAGTGGGAGCTAAGAGCCACAAACAAAGCACAGATATCATGAATTCACACACTGGGATCCAAAGCATGAATACTCTTGGTATTTAATAATTATTCGTTTGTTCGTTCAGTCGAAAGTTTGTTGTCTTTAATTAAAATTGAATTAATTTAAAATTTAATTTAAAATTGTGTCCAAATATGGCTTTATGATGAGTTTTAGAGCCCTGGAAATTTCTAAAACTCATCAAGCAATGATGTGTAGCTCAGACTGATTGGAGGGGGGGGGGGGTGAGTTCGTGAAGGATGCTGTGGGGCTGTCGTGGTTCATGTGCTGGATTGGTAAACTGTGGTGGCGGCTTTTAACCAAGCAGGTCAGAGAGCGTTTCCAGGCTTTGATGGTATCCCACTCCTCAGCCTCCCTGGGAAGCTCCATGTTGGTGGGAACCTTGGATTTGTGGGAAAATAAGTTGTTTTCATCCTGGTGGTGCTGCTGGATCAGCTCTAGACCCTCTGAAAGATATTTGAGGGTCCACGGGAGTCTGCATGTGTTTTGTGGACTTTGAGACCGGGGTGGTTTTTGAGGGGTTTTTTGTTACGACCAATCTGGCCACAGTGGGTGTTTGGGTTCTGGGGGAGTTTGGACTCAGACATTTAAATGGCAACGATTTGAAACGATCAGCCCAACAGCAGCCAGTTTCTGGTTCGCTGGTGTCAGGATCACCTCTCTGCTTTTGCTGGATGATGTGGTCCTTCTGGCTTCATCGGTCTGTAGCTTCCAGCTGTAATTGCAGTTACCACCTCCACGTCTGAGCTCACAGTTCTTAGCCAGAAATGGGTAGAGGGTACACTCCAAAATCCTGCCCCAGGAGGAGTTTGAGTATCTCAGGAACTTGTTTGGCGCTGGTGGGAAGGAAAAGGCAGAAGCAGCAGAAATGTGCCTCCTCTCTAGGGTCTCTGGGCAGGACTGTTATTTAAGAGAAGGTCTGAGCAGGATGCCTTCTGGATGCTTCCTAGGTGAGGTCTATCGGGCATTTCTGATTGGAAGGAGAAAAAGGAAATGCTGGAGGTTATGTTTCTGGGCTGGCTCGGGAATACCGCAGTGTCTCCCCCAGAAGAGCTGCAGGTGGTGAATGGGGAAGAGAGACTGAGCATCTCTGCTGAGACTGCTGTCCCTGTGACCCAGACCTGGATGGATGGGTTGCTTGATTGATCCTTGGAAGTGTTTCAAAGCTGAGGTGTCCTGATGGCAAAAGAGCCGTCAGCTTTAGATGAAGGATCTACCAGCGCCACACCGAGCTAACATCTGTAGATCCAGATGAGCTTCATAAGTAATGACAACTCAGTTGTAACATGTAACAGGGTAAAATGAGGAGCCAGGATCGGGGTGTTGAATGCCAGCAGGTAAAGATATGACCATGAATCTGTAAATGAGGTGCGTCTGCTCTCAGACGTCTGAAACGTTGAGACTTTTGCAAAGTGAGTGAGATACTTATGTTCAGTGGAGAGAAAGCTGACATCACCTGTACCTGAGTGAGGAAGTGAAGCTCGGTGCTGCTCTGCACACTTTAATCCTGCAGCCAGCTCACATCTGCACGCTGTTAATCTGATTTATCAGAGGGAAGGTGAAGAAACAGCGGTGAGATCCATCATGTGCTACAATCTCAGCTTATTGATCCTGGCAAACTTGTGTGAAGTCATAACTAATCTGCTGTTTTATCCGTCTCTGTGCTGCTGCTGCTTTTCCCACCTGCTTAAGTTCTCTCACATAAATATAGCGTCTGCTTTCTGCACGCCTCCACCGCTCAGTTATCGAACGCGCTCTCGTAGCTCTGTGCAGATCAGATGCGTTACACGAGGATTTGAATTCAGCACAAACTCCAGACGACTGTGGACAGAAATGAGAATTCTTTGAGGACAAATCAAAACAAGCCATTTTTAAGTTGTTTCAAAGAGGCCTGCAGCGTGCGCTCCTCGGACCTGGAAGCTGCGCTCGTCTTTCATGCACAGATGAGACGGCGAGCTAAAACGCACAGTAACGTGTTTTTCAAACGTTGCCTTCCCGCTGAACCCCGCCTCCCGATGCGAGAAACTGTTTGTGTTGATCGTTTCATCAGCGTTTCCTTCGTCTTTGAGCTGGAGCGTGAAAGTCCACAACTTTTTAAGTACAATGTGCTTCTGTTGTTTCTCTTTGAAGCGCACAGATCAAAGCAGACGGCCACACACGGCGAGCGCGATGACCTCGTCTGCAGAGCAGCTCCTGCTTTTGTTCTGCTCGTTCTCCAACACCCTCACTGCTTTTGTGCTCTCACCTCCAACATGCCATCAATTATACAACAAAGACGCTGCTTCATTGTTAAGCAGGTGGTGCACGCAGCAGTGAAGTTATCCAGGCTTGGATAACGTGATCTCCACGCAGGTTCTTCTCTGTTTCAAATCAGGAGAATGACTGATGCTGCAGCGCGGCAAGTTATGGAGTCGGGTTGTAGAGCAGGGGTGGGGAACTCCAGGCCTCGAGGGTCGGTGTCCTTGATCCAGCACAGCTGATTTAAATGGCTAAATGACCTCCTCAACATGACCTGAAGTTCTCCAGAAGCCTGGTAATGAACTAATCATGTGATTCAGTGAGATCTAAAACCTGCAGGACACCGGCCCTCGAGGCCTGGAGTTCCCCACGCCTGTTGTAGAGTCTTTGCCGTAGACTTTAAAGCACCTTGAGGCGACTCGTTGTGATTTGTTGCTATAAAAATAAACCTGACTTCTTGGATCTCTGCTTGAAGTGAGCTTGTGTAGTTGGTGCGCTGTAATGTGAATTCTGCACAAGTCGTTGCACAGACGTCTGTGCAGACCTCACGCTCGCCGTCTGAGGATAAAATTTATGCCACTGCTTAGTAACACTGAGCGTTGAGGTGTTCAGATAACTGTATTTTTTTGTATTATTACACATTAGACATTAGGGCTGCCACGATTAGTCGACTATCAGAATCGTCGACGACTGATTTAATAGTCGACGCGTCGTTTGAAGCTTTGTAAGATCACAAAAGACGCAGGAATAAGTAGCAGGATTTAAGAGTGTAATAACGGACTGAAACAGAAGATGGCAGCACTGCATGTACAAGGATGCCAGCTGCCGTTAAACCCCGAAGAAGAAGACAGCTGTGTCCCAGAATTCATAGCGCGGCCCAGCTTAGTTTCCAACAATGGCGGCAGCTAGTTAGTTTTAATATTACTCTTATTATTCTTTCTGGGTCACAAAATAAACGTTTAACATATTTTCAGGCGAGAATGTAGCTGTGTAAACCTCAAATATCTGCTCAGTTTATCAGGACACCACATATTTTCAAAAGCGCTCCGACGTTTTCGGAGACGTCTGTTACCCACTAGCTCGATAGCTAGCCGGGGGCTAGGCTACACTAGCGCCGTGAGAACACCGGACTCCCGGCAAATCGTTTTCAAACCCACCGCCGTCTTTCGCTACTCAGGTTAAACATGATATATGAGTCACTTAGATAACTTAAAATGTTATTGTTTGGCTTTTTTCAGTATTTTATTTGTTCCTGAGTAAATCGGCTGAGTTTATTAAACTCCACCGAAACAATCTGCACATTTCAATTAAAATTTAATAAACTATCATCTTGTCTTTAATTTTAGTTAGCACCTTAAACACTTAAAGCTGTAAGCTAATGATAGTTATATAAGAGCAGATGCTGCTGGTGCAATAAGCTGTACGTCCAGTGGATGATGATCTGATTAGTCGACTATCAAAATAATCGTTTGTGGCGGCCCTATTAGACATATTAGTCATCATAAATGAACATATCAGGATAAAGTCTTGGAAAATGTGATACTTAGTCCAGAAACTTTACGTGGACCTTAAACCCAACAGGAAAGAACAAGAACATGAAATCGAGGTGGAGCATAAAGTATCCTGATGTGAGCTGAGGGAACGTCCTCCCTGGTTTATGCGTTTCCTCTACTTTCCCGAGAAAGCAAAAGCAAAGACACATAAAAGACGTCACATCTGAAGTCACAGTCAATGCTGCGCTTCACGGTTTTAAATAAAGTGATCCAAAATGTTCTCAGTTCTTCCTCCACCTACGCTCCACCTCTCCACCAAGCACAGTTAATGAAATCCGCTCAGTGACTTTGGCGTAATCTCACCGACAGACGGCTGCAAACATCTCTGAGCCCCGGCTCTCGCCGTGAAGCAGAATAATGTTGAAGATCTGATTCAGTGAAACTCTACATTTGTGTGTTTGAGATATTTGAGTGAATCCTGACTCGTGTTTGTTCTTCAGCCACAGATACTTCACTCCTCCAATCAGGAAGACCAGGAGCCACTGACAGGTCAAGTCCCGACGCCACCGCGAACTCAAGCTCCACCTTCCACTAACATCTGCCCCGCACATCTCGAAACCCCTGCTGACAGACTCCGCAACCCCCAAGCTCCCAGTTCCACCCATCCAGCAGCCCACGTAGGAGAGGATGACGGGGAAAAGCAGAGGAAGGTGGAGGAGACGAAGTCGGGGGAAAGGAAGAAAACCCACAGCAGGTACCTGCAGCCGCCGCAGCCCTCCAAGCTCCGCCTCTTCCCAAAGACGAGGGCAGCATGCGACCCCGACACCAACAGCACCTCTGGACTGAATTTCAGAACGCTGGCCTTCACCTCCACCTCCTCCCGCCTCCCCAAACCAAAGAACCACTGAAGCGTCCGACTCCTTCCTAACACGCAACGACGCGAGCGCCGAACTTCCTGTAAAATAAAACGAGAGCTGCAGATTATCGAAGCTTTAGCCGAGGCTGAAATGGACACAGTTAATTTATTTAACCTTATTTTAAGAAGTTGTTGACAATAAAGGTTTTAGTCTGAGTACTTTGCACAGAAACGGTTTCTGCAGTGAGTGGGAGGGGCCATCAGGTTCATCTGAAGATGGAACGGAGGTATGTGAGGTTTTGGCTCTTCATCACAACCTTTAAGGATCTTTAAATGTCAGGGTTTTATTTTCTTTCCAACACGCTTCGTTTATTCTAGCATCAACACTAAAACTGCACCGAGAGCGTCCGTTAACCAGACGGAAACGCCTCCGATCTCGTCCTCTGATCTCGTCCTCTGCTGTTGGTTTCATATAAAACATCGGTCCTCTTCCCTCAGAGGCTCGCTCCCTCTCGCTGTGTGTTAGGAACCGATTGTACAGCTCCTGAACTTCCTCCGACTCCTCCATCCTTCCCTGAAGTCCAACCACAGTGAGTCTTCCTCAGTGGAGAGGCATGAATGATGTGCATCCACCTTAACCCCCATCACCACCGCAGACTGCATCCTCCTCCAACCTTCATATTTACAGACTCGCATCATCTCGAAGGTCAGAAAGTTCCAGGACCTTGATCTCGTCGCCCGTCCGTGTGTTTTCAGTTCGGTGTTCACTTCACTGTGTTTCGCTTAGAAACCTGTTGGTTTTCAGACAAGACTCCGATATGAGGCTGAAATCTTGTCCAAATAGCTGCTGGTTGGTGTGAACACCACCTTCCTCCTGCATCAGCTGTGAAAGTGTGGCAGTCTTTGTTCCCATGAAAGCCGATGGAAGAACATCTGTGTGCTTGAAGAGTCCTGAAGTTGGAGGTTTTTTACCATCTGGCAGTGATTTGAAAATCAGTCCAGCAGAAGTCTGGATGGACACAAAAGTCTCAGCATGCTGCAAGCGCTCCAGCTCTGTTCTGACTTTAATGGTTTGAGGATGTTTGTTTCAGTCTACTGTGACTGTCCCCCAAAAACCCTCCAACTAAAATAAAATCAGAGCTCCAGAAGTTTCACCTCAGAGGCCCGACGAGTGACTCCAGGCTTTGCTGTTTCTGCAGAGGAAGCGTTCAGGCGCTCAGCAGAGACATCTGCTGAATCTGCTCTGAGCTTTGAGCTCTGCTGTGGAAGCAGAAATCACAGCGTGCAGGAGGAGGAAGGTTTCCTCCCAGGTCAAAATAATCCCTACTAATCTGATACTGGAACGTGATGTTTTAGCTCCTCCCCCTTTGGTGTGAACTAAAGAGCCACACCAAGAGATGAAGGAGCTCCAATTGGTTTGCTTTTTAGGAAACGGCTGAGATGAGCTCGGCAGTATGGTGTGAAGCATGCTGAGGCCTTCTTGTCTGAAGGCTGGAGTCATTTCAGACACTCAGTAAACGAATAAAAGGCTAGAAAGTTCAAATAATTTTCGGATTACAGGTGATCAGAGGAGGAGCTGGTAGCTTAAGTGTTTTTCCTTGAAGGCAAACTGACATTTCAGCCCGTCTGTCAGTCGTCCTTTGAACATTTGGACATTACTGCGTCTCACTCGTGCAGTCAGGATCCGCCTGCTGAACCACGTTCACGTTCATTCTTCTACAGGACAACGAGTCTCCCTCATACCTGACAAATCAAACATAGTCTCCCTTCTGTCAGCGATTAACTGTCAGTGCTGCTCGCTTTGATATTAGTAACCGTATATGCAATAAAATATGCAACAGAGTCGCAGGTTCAAGCCCTAAAAGAGGAAACTTTGTTGCATTTAAAATATATGCAAGACCAGCTCAGCTTAGTTCCACGTTTCACAAAGAAGAGGACGCTCGCTGTCTCTACAGACAATCCGGGAATCTGCTAAATCCTGCATGTCCGGTGCCGAGAAACGAAGTAGAAGCGGTTTTGGGGCGATTACTGAAACCACGAGGCGGCTCGGTGTGAAGAACGACGGCAGACTGAGGAAACCGCCCGGCTCCAGCTCGCATCTACCCCAACAGCAGAGTCTGACTGTGCTGGCGTCAGGTTTGCTCACATTTGACTGATCAATGCATTTAAATGCTTTAAATCCTCGTTCAGCTCTGAGCCGCAGCGACTTTAACATGAGCAGGTTTCTCAGACGTCTGCTCTTAACTTTCTGCTGCGTCACTGCTCAGGTGGAGTCGCTCGTCTCCTTTAGATCTCGTCGTTCGCTCCCAGTGGGGAAATCGGAGCCGCCTTAATTCATGCGAGCGACACGAAGCCCAGCAGGGCGCGTTCGCAGCAGAGCTTCAGCTGCTGCTGCTCTTAAAGTTCATCATCAAAGTCCTGGAACACACAGAGTCTGCAGGAACGCTGTGATTGATGTTCCTCGGTGAGCCCCTCATCGATGGGGGGAAATTAAAGCAGAAGGCAAACAGGGAATGTCCGTTTGAAATGAAAGAGGAAAATAAATTAGTGCACTGTGTTTATTTCATCTGGTTCAAACAAGGTTTGACGTTTTCTTTTCCACCTTTTCACCAAAAACGACCAGAAAAAATGAAAAAAATCAGCCACCTCAAGGCTCCGCCTCGGCCTTCGTGTCTCTGTCTGCGCCTGTTTGTCTAAACCCTCCAGAAGTGAGCAGCTCTGAGCGAAGACTCGCTGAAAGCTGCTGAATCTGAAACAAGCAGCCCATCACAGCTGTTTGTTTGATATACCTCCTGTAATCATGGAGACTAATCGGGGCAGCTGAAAACAAGCATGTCCAATCAGCGCAAAGCACGAAAGAAAACCTTCAAAGTAAAACAGGAAGTGAACTAAAGACACAGAGCAACCAAAACCTCTAAAATCTGAAACAAAACCCGGAGCAGGACGGTTACGGAAACTCGAGGCAAAAACCAGGAGCTTAAAATAGTCCAGCTTTGTCTCTGAGGCGTCCTCTGCAGTCAGAGGAGGTCGTGTCTGAGCGTCTTCATCTGCTGCTCGTCTTCACACCGTCGTGTCTCAGGTTTAATTTTAAAGTTTGCCCCTCATCGTTATTCAAACATCCAATCAGGTTTTATCAGCTGCCGAAGTTTAAAAGTGACTAAAACCACCCGGGGAGAGAAAAACCTTCTGCCCGGGTCACAGAGTGTGAACCATGAAGTCGTGGTCATGTACATTACACAGAGCGTTAGTGTGTTTGTCTCACAGAGTTTTTAAATCATTATTAAACTCGATCACATCCGCTTCATCACTTATTTGACTGCTTTTAAGAAAACTCTGCATTTCCTTCTGTGCTTTCAAAATAAAAGTCTTCTGTGTAGGGAGACTGTACACTCTAAACATTTTTTAGTCCTTACAAATAACCTGAATACATTTATTTACATGTAAATTTTCCATGTAATTTAGTTGCATAGGTACAGTTTAAAATGTTAACTTGACTGCTATACGTTCAGTTTACACCAAGCACATTTTCCTTAATAATTACTTATTTAAATCAATGAAACTTTGACTTTTACATATTTCAGCTGCACTTAAAATTGTTGCTTATGCTTATTAAGAGTGAAGAATCATTATTTGAGTGTAACTTTAAGTTCTCAGACTGGTTTTATTGTGACACACCTGTGCAGGAAGTACTGAGATTCACTAACAGCTCAACAACAATTATAAGAAACAATTTCACAATAAAAGCCAATAATCCTGAATGCTTTTACTGTGAAATAAGGGGGTACAGCAGTTTCTTTAAAGCTAGCTTAACAGTGACAAAAACACACAAGGTAGAAAACACTGATGATCAGCAGAGAAACACATTTAAAGTGTTTTTATCAGGATGAACGTTACGCTCGATCCGTGAAGTCAGCCCTGCTGTGGAAAACCTCTCTGCTGTTGTTTGAAATAATTAAATTATTGAAGGCTTTATGAGTAAAGTGCTGGGAATGTTTTCATGTTCACATTGAGATGACTCTAATATTTCATAATCGTCTGTATTTAAACTGTATTTAAACGATTCAGTGGAATACTCTGAATAATGTACTCACGCTGTGTCTGTCTTCTACTTCCTCTCTGCTTTTATTTTGAAAACTTGAACTTTTGTTTGTTTCCTGGTTTTGGTGCAATAACTGACGTATTTATGTGATGAAGCGTGTACGTGGTGCGGACTGTAACGTTGTTGAAGCACCGAGAGGAAAAAGCACTTTAAAACAAGCGTCTCACCTGCTGAACTTATTTTTTGTCTCATTAACGTTGATGCAGCGTTCAGGTCGTACCAAGTGAAAACGTAGCGCCTGTATTCCTGTCAGCGAGGCTCTTTGCAGCTCATTGGTTGATATTTACGGTCCTCTTCTGTCATTGGCTGACATTTCTCTGATGCTGCTGAAATAAAATTAATCGTCCCCAGCTCTCGGTGTGTCCTCCCTTCTTTCTCCAACTGTGCCACAGTTGAGCCACATTAGAGCGGGAAAGGGTGATGTCGTTCATGGGCGGAGTCTGTGCAGCAGAGATGTCAGGTAGGATCTCCTCTGCCCCGCCCACATGTGGCACAGATGTGCTGGGACAAAGTAAATTAGACGTTTATCCTTCACAGCATGAAAATATGAAAACTGGCCGTTCAAAATGGCCACGCCCAATTATTAGACCATCTTTAATGATTTTTAAATGTGTTTATATCAGTCATTTGAGAGTCAGTATCGGTGTAAGAACGGACGGAGAAATTGGGCCACGCCTCTTTGAATTCCGTCGTTTTCAATTCCACAGGTGTGAAAACCACAGCAGCTCAGCCAGGAAGTGTTAGAGCTGGTGAACTTACATGGCGGGGTCACAGAGCGCGGAGGTTCACGCCCCCTCCTGGCTTTAACATCAGCACAAAGTAAACTGCAGAGGAGCTTCGTGTCATTAGCGTCAGAGATAACGGTGTGTTTAAGGCAGAGGATCCATCAACCCCCCCTTCACGTGTTTAACAGGTAAGTGTGACTCTGGACACGCCCACTCTGTTTCTAATGATGAGTTCTGTCGCCATGGCAACCTGGAGCCTGCATGTACAGTAGGCTTCCTGGCTGATTCTGTCTGTGGGAAACTGGAGCATTTCATCATTAGCTCAAATAATCAGCTGGTGCTTCATCCTTGAAGGAAGCGCTCCTCAGACGGTTTCCTGTTTTGGATCTGCGGTTCCTTTGGCAGGCGCTCAAATTAAACACGTGAGCTCAGGTGTTTCATGTGGTCCTAATAGCCCCACCCACCTACCGTTCAAGCTTTGTTTCACTTTAAAAGGGGAGGGGCTTAAGGTTTTGGCTAAAGAAGGATTATTATTAACTTATGCACAGCTGACCAAAAGTAAAAATCAAGAGCTGGAAATGAGCAGGAGGAGTTCACTTAATTTTTTTTCCTTCAAGAATACACTGTGTACTTTTGTCTCCAAACTTTATTTTATGCTCACACACACACACACACACACACACACACACACACACACACACACACACACACACACACACACACACACACACGAGTAAGAAAGAATAAAAATCATCATCGTTGTCAGAAGTTGACTTTAAGTGTTTCTGCTTGACAAACAGCTGCTCTGGGGTTCATTCTTCTTCTGTGGTTATTGAGCTTCAGTGAAGTTAAACACAGACACACACACGATGCTCTGTGTGTGTGTGTGTGTGTGTGTGTGTGTGTGTGTGTGGGGCTACAGTGATTAATTCCTCCCAGTTTGAAATCTGCAGACTCGACTTTTTCATCCAGCTGCTGAAGATTTAGGGGAAATAAAGCAGCCAAATCCTGATGGACGCTCAGCAGGAAGCTCGGCTCAGCTCGGCTCAGCTCGCCACTCTTCCTCGGAGAATACAGCTTCATGAACCTTCATAGGGGCGGAGACAAGGTTCCACCAACCAATCATATTAAACATTAACCTGTGCCCAGTTTCTGACCTCACATTCAAACTGACATCTGTGTCCACAAACAATATCTCAGAGGAAGAATCATCCTGAGCCTCCTCATCATCACCTCTCAGCTGTAACTCAGCGTCCTGACAGCCGACTCTTCATCCTGACCTCAGTGTGTGTCCTCGTCCTTCGGCCCCTCATCATCCTCGGCTGGTTTTCAGAATCTGAATTCTGAAAAATGTTCCCATTTATGACATTAATATAAGTGAGTGTGACAGCTGACTCCACCTACACCTGCCACACCTCGACACGTGTTTGTGCACGCCCACATTAAACCATTCATACCTGACGATAACTCCCAGCTCAGAGCTCCTCCTCCCCGCTGCAGTCGCCGCATTTCAGATCCATAAAGCAGTGAAGTGGAGGACTCCTCTGCAGTCGTCCTTCAAAATAAATGATGGTAGAGTTACCTGCTGCACATCTAATGGCTTCTTCACTTCAGGGCTCAAAGCAGTAAAAGCATCTCAGAGAGAGGAGAGGGGGATTCACGCTGCCGTCGCCCTCACTAATGAACCACCTCATTAATGACTCTCTAAAACCCGTCTCAGTATGCTAATAGGGTGGAGTTAGCCACGCCCCCACAGATGAAAAGGCAGAGGAAAGAAAAAGTTCAGAGAACAACTGACGTGAGCCGGCGGCCAAATACCACGAGGTCAGAGTCTCTGACCTCGTGGCCCTTTGCTCTCCACACTATCATCTTCAAATAACAGTTATTATGTCCCCGAAAAGAGAACAAATGAGAGGAGCAGAGACAGTCTGCTCTACCAGGGGGCTCTGAGGGGGTCCCAAACCTGCTCCTGTTTTGAAGCCTCACTTCCAGGGTTAACTCCATCATCATCAACAGCAGGTCCACATCACTGAAGATGCTGCTTCAGTCCCTCTGCTGATCTGCAGCTGCTCTGACTCATGAAGAAGATTCTGAAAATCCTCCAGTTGGGGCAGGAGCTCTTCCCTGAGCCTGAGGAGGCGGGCACCGGAGCGTGAGCTGAGACGTCTGCTTCCAACTCGTCTATGAACCTCCACCGAGTGTCATTTTGTTGATCCGGTGCTGCTGGAAAAGAGCAACGTGATGATTCCTGCTTTAAAACTGGCCCTGAGATCTTTCACACAGCAGAGGCCGCTCGCTGCTTCATCATTTCCGATGTTTTCCGTCGTGTTTTAACTTTTCACTAACTTTCAAGGCCTCGCTCGGCTCAGCTGGCTGGAGGAGAGCTGGGGCGTCCCTGTAGATGGGCGCAGGAAACCCCAGAAATGACTCAGCAGCATTTGTTTGTAATAAGCAGCAATGAGCGCTGAGCAGATTTCATTAAACTCCCAGTTATTCATTAATAAGTGATCCTCACTGTGGAGCGCTATCTGCAGCTTTACTCACCTCATGATGTGCAATAACAGTTAAAGTGGATTCATTAAAAACACATTTATTCACCTCGACTCTGCAGGACGGCCACACACACACACACACACACACACACACACACTGTGGTGACGATGCTGATGTCAGCGCTGGCTTCGGACCGTCGTAATGAGCTCAGATAAGTTTAAGAGAACGATTTGTCGGAGAAATCGGCTGACGACGCTCAGGATTTAGAAACGCAGCATTGGCTGTTTCAGGAGACGAGCTGATGGGAGGACATTCATCTTTTTATCTCGCAGGAGCGATGGCAAAAACAGCATTTCCCAGAAGTCCTTGCTCCATCTGTCTCCTGCTCCGTGCAGCAGGAGTTAAGCAGGAAAAATATTCATGCAAGGAGAGAAAGCAGCTCGTGGTTTTGTCTGTTACCCTCGAGGCCGTCTGCTGGCATGCGGCGTGTGTGACTGACGCCTTCAGCTTCATTGTTCAGGGTTAAAAGGAAGTCGAAATCTTCCCTCCTCAGCCTCACAGGTCACTGCAGGGCACACCGAAGTGATGTCCTGGAGATGGGTGGGACCAATGTCCCCTATAAGCTGCGTGCGTGCTGGCGCGATCTCTGCGCGGCGAACAAAAAAAATCTAACGTGAATTGAAATTAAAATTAAGTATAGCTTTGCTGTGTGTGTCAGAACAATGAGGCGACTGCTGAGTGTTGCAGGTGTTACAGCAGTGACACATCTGCTGCTGTCAGGCCTGCAGGTATCAGGCTGTTGTTCTCCTTCATCTCATAGTGGACAGAAATTATTTTTTGGAGCGGCACAAATAATTTGTGTGGCATCAGATTTGATGCAGAACAGCTGATTGTTCTGTAAATAGTTTGAAATGTTTATTTAAAAAACGCCTTGGCTGCATTTTTAGGTAAACAGCTGCAAAAAATGTTGTTTGCAAAACTCAGTTACTTTTTTGAAGAAGTAACTAAATAATTAACTGCCCAACATTGGTCATTATTTACTGTATTTGCAGACAGAGTTACAGACTCTCTCCCAGACCACAGACTCAGAATACAGTCAGAGCTTTATATAAAAGAAAATAAAAAAAATAGAAAGTTGTGTTTTCAAAATTGGAGTTGAAGTTATTTTTCCTTCCAATAGTGTTAACATGCTACAGGTCATCAACAAGATTGTTTTAAATTCTCATTGTCAGTGGGCTGAAGCAGTTAATTAAAAGTCGTCTAACATAAATGCTGTAATCTGATTACTTTAATAAACATGTAACTTGGATGCTGGCGTGACCACAGTGCACACGTCTGCTGTTGCTCACAGTGTCCAAGGGACGCTCAGGGAGTTTGTGTGTTCGCTCACACACGTGAAACATTAGAGGGAACATTGGATGGGACTCCATCTCTCTGCAGATGTTCCTCTCAGAGTTTCCAGCAGCTGCTTCGTCATAAGGTAACAAAAGTACTTTCGACCCCGGTGTGGCCCCGCCCTGTTTTTGATGCTCATGGGCTCAACCGAAGCTGTTAGCCAGCTGTGGATCTACATACAGAGGCTCAGGAAGTCAAACCGGCCTCTCTGCATCTCCATGGTGCTGACAAACCCTCCAAACCATCATTTCTCCGCTCAGGCACAAAGTGTCAGCGTTCTCCTGCTGACATTTACAAGGTCAGTACACTGTGCAGTCAGTCAGCGACTGCATGCAAATGCACAGACAGCATCTCATCAAAATACATTTACAGACAGCAGGATTTCCTTCTGCTCTTTGCTCCTTAAAGTCGACTCCGCTGAGTTGTGACCTCCTTCCCGCCAGCAGCGTGAAACAGTCGTGATCGGGAGCTGCGCCGTGTTGCCGGCGAACAGATCAGACCGTACAGGAAGACCAAGACGAGGAGATGAAAGCTGATCAATAAAGACCGAAGCACGGTGAAATCTGAGGGCCCAGTTTGAGCCGCCGCAGCGTGAAGTGGAAATAATGCAGAAGGCTGAGAGCAGCTGATCTGACCATTAATA